GCTTTTCTCTTTTGCCGATTTTTTTTTTCTTTAATTTCCAAAATATTCTCTACAGTTCACTGATTGTGTCCTCATTTATTTTTCCCTTTCTACTAAAAGCAGATTATCTTGCGATTCTTTTTCAATGTGTTTTTTTTTTTCCTCTCACGCTTATACTAAAATAATTTTTCACTTGTGCATTTATTTTTATTTTTTTTCCGTCTTATCCTTATTATACAGTAGTGATCTTTATAAGACAATTTTTCTTAGACATGTATCTTTTTGACAATTTATTGAAATAACCTTTTAACTATTCTTTCTTTAATAAATACCCATTCTCTAATTTTCTCATAAATAACTATTTTCTAAGTAAATAATCATCTTACTTAAATGTTTGTTCTTGCAGCTCTCTCAAATGCTTATATATATATATATATATTGAGATTGGAGATAACTGATATTGGAGCTTTTAAATGAATTCTAATTAGGTTAGCACTCATCTAAAAGGCTCATCCTATATCAAACCTCAAACTCAATATAATTAATAAAAAGAAGCAAAAACACAAAAGAGTCGCACTACAACACAAAAGCCCTTAGACGTCACCCGGAAAGTGACATCTAAGGCCTTAGACGTCGCCAGAAAGGGCGACGTCTGGGTAGGCGACGCTAAAGTTACTACTATAGATGTCGCCTTTTTAAGTGACGTCTATTATCACTTTAGACGTTACTTGTCAGACAACATCCAAAGCGTCCGTCACTGTTTGAATTTAAAAGACTTTAGACGTAATGATAGAGAGCTTTAACACCTGATGAAGAAGTTTTTGGATGAGGTTCCGACTAACCCTGCAGTCACACCCAAACAAGCATCAAAAGAATTAAAAACACTCATAAATTTAAGATCCTTACTAGTTTATGTTTCAAGAAGAAAAAAGAATTTAGAAATACTTGTTTACTCATGATAATTCTCAGCCATTGCTGATATGACGTATGAAGTTTGAAAGAATTTAAATTTGTTTCAAACCATTATATTGAAACTAACCTTTGAATTTCAGGTTAGAGAATAAAAGTCATCTACATTCATTGAACACTAATTTAGCACTTATATAAGATATAAAATTCACATAATTTCAAGTTAAGAAAACAGAAACTCAAAACATACTTTGCAGATTAGTTGACAATCACACAATAATATGGATGTATTAGTATCTTCATACATGTAGTCCCTATTCAACAAAAATAGTCCAAATTCCAAACTAATAAGGAAAGAACCCTTAATATTTTCTTTTTCTTCCTAAAAAAGAAAAACTAGTATTATCACTAAAGCTAAAATAACAAGAAAGTAGGATTAACGTATAATTCGACCCTCATCTTCAGATCGTTCTGCTCAAAAAGCCAAATTTGAATGCATTATTTCTAAAACCAAATTCACCCAAAATAAATTCCATTAAATCCAATTCGAAGCAAAACTCAAAAGACAAAAGCATTTAACTAAAATGAAAAATACAAAATAACTTACACTCTGAATGAATATGAAAAGCATGTTCTAGCACAACCAAGAAAACAAGAAAAAAATTAGAATATAGGGCACATGAGTCGGCAAAATCATAAGTTAGAAAGTTAAAAGACAAAAGGTAAAGTGGAGAAGGAAACCTACAAATCTCAAAATCCATAGATGATGTTTCAAAAAATGCAAACCCAAAACCTAACAGACAGCACACCACAAAAGCAATTAAACGAAAAAAAAAATGACGCTTAAAGAAGAAAAAAAAAACCTTTGCGCCAACAGATTAAGAAGAAGAAGAAGACGATGAGGACGAGGATCTCTGTGTGACAAGGACAACGAGGATGAGCGTGCAACGTTCATTAGAGCAGATTTGGGGTGGGAGAAGCTAGCAACTGTTCGTGCATTTCTATAGGCTGCTTTTCTAATTTGATCTACATTCTTTTAATAAAATCTTTTTTTTTTAATATATGAAATCTTAATTTGATTTTTGATAAAGTCTTATAGGATATTTGTTTTAAGGGTTTAACTCTAGTTCTGAGTTATGCTTCTTGGTTTTCTACGGTGTTTTTCTTTCACAAAAAATTTAAATTTCAAAAATTATAATCATAAACCATGATTTTGAACCCATGAACCAAATGTCCCATTAAATATTTGAAAATAACGCTGGGAGCTGTTGTTGCTTTTCTTATCTCAATTTTTTTTTAAGCAAAAATTGAAGGCAGCTTTCCTAATTTGATCTACTTTTTTTTTATTTTTTATAAAATCTTATTTTTTTTTAAAACATATGATATCTTAATTGATTTTTGATTGAAATGATAATTACTTTGATTGAAAAGATTGTTTGATGAAGATGAGTAGAACTATCCGTCAAAGCAGTTGGCAGCTTAGTATTGTAATTACTATCATATATCAAAGTATACAATACTTCAACTTTTTCTTGATTGAAACATATAAGAGTACAAAATGATAATCGTTTGGAGCTCGGGAAAGAATAAAAATAAGGAATAGATGAATTGCAATGCTTGTAAACGACATGATCATTTGTTATTTGTATAAGCTCTTTTGTCCAATACGACACAAAATGTTGTAGCAGTAGAAATGTTACAGATGGAACTCAAAATAGTAGAAGGAAACGGATGTCGTTTCTTTTATAGAAGTTGAAATAGATGTCGTTTACACTGGGAAATAGACAACATAGTTTTTCCTATGTTGAGTGTTAGGAATTTTGTTCCTATGTATATATATTTTGTTGCCAACCATATATCAAAATTAATTTAATTATTTGTTGTTGAGTTAGCCCGATTTCTTTGCAGATAAATTATGCTTTTTATCTCTTGATTATTCTTCTTACAGATTGTGCAGATATCATGTGGATTAAATTTTAAAATTTTAATCTTAAACTTATATTGTTAATTCTGTTATTTTTCTCTAATTCAGATTTTGTGGAATTAATCCCGGTGCTTAATTGAGTCTAAATTCATTTTAGGATTATTCTACTTATTGACTGAGTTTTCTGGAAGTTATCTGCAGGATTTTGAGATCCAATTCAGATCAAGGTTGAATTTAAATTGAGTTTGAATTTGAACTAACATATCATGTTAGTCTATTTTGAGTGTCTTGACATTGCAGGTCCAGGAACTTTGTTCAGATGACATTGTTAGAAAACGAGATATCTGTCTGCATAATGTGCAAGTTCGACATCTTGTTCAAACAAAGATTTCTGAAGGTAGCTGGAATTTCAGAAAGATTTAAATTTGAAGATTTTTAGCAATCGAAATTCAAATTCAAGTGGAGATCATGATCAGATCTCAATCTAGATCAAGCAGAGAGATTCTGGACCTTTACCATATCTAGGAGTTTCATTATTTAAGAAGAACAACTTGTAATTCTCGAGTAAGACCTAGGTTCAAAACTTGAGAGTCCAACAAGAGAAAGTTTGAGAGTTCTCATTTGAGCTTAAATGTGAGAAAAAACCAGAGTGAATATCATAGGCTTCCTTCATTACTCTCAAACCCTATTTCTATGGACATTTTAGAGAATCCGGTGTACGTCGCAGGAGGATCCAAAGGCGGATTGTAGCGCTCAAAGTAAGTTAGGAAGACTGAAGGCAAGCATCGTACTTGGAATAGGTTAGGAGGATAGAAGGCAAGCAGAAGACTCGGAGTCGGGCAAGGAGTCCAAAGGCAAGTCGAGAGGAGTAATCATGGGTTAGGAGTTGATGTACATTTCATTTCACCGATTCGAGTTTTCAGTTCAAGATTTTTACAGTAAAAAGCTCTCAGAAAATGTCACATATAACTTTTTCTGCTATAGTGACAAGTTCTCAAAAAATATCACATCTCAGCTCGAATTGAAAACTCAAATCTGTGAAGTGAATGAGGCATTAAAAGGTCTCTTGCAATTCTAACTTTTGTAACCACATTTGGTGATAGTGAAATCCTCTTTTATCTGGTGTGATTTGCATCATGGTTTTTTCCCTAAAGGGTTTTTGACCACATTAAAGTTCCGATCGCCATGTTCTTTTATTATTCATCAATTTACTTTAAAGCACTTTTGGTTTTGTTTTAACACGGTTGATTAAGTAGTTCTGTACGTAATACGTGAATGAGAGCAAAGGATAATTATAAAGAAATAAGTCCAATGTCCTCTTTTTTATCGATCAAAGCAACATTATACACGTGACTTATGGTCTAATTATTAGCTCCCTTATTATATGTAAAACTAAAAGCATAAGATAAGTATAAAGAAATAAGTCTAATATCCTCTTTCTTATTGATGTCAAATATTTGGAGAATGACAAGCAGTAGGAATCAAGCATTGTTCTTTCTTTCCCTTAACTGTGACTGATTCACGGGTTAGAAATGGTTAAATAATGATATGGACTGATTCATGGTTTATTGCTCATTAACTTGGTGGTCCATCATTAACTGACTTGGTAGTTAATTACTGAGGGATCGATAATAGTCAGTTATTAACCCATGTTAAACAATTGACTGGTCCATGAGTGATACACCATTATTAAATCAATGATGGAACATTAGTATATAATTAATAGACCGGTGTATCAGTGATAAACTATTAGTATATTAGTAATTGAGCACTTAAAAAACCTAGCCCAAATAATAGCATGTTAATTAAAAAAAAAGGTTCAGCCATTATTCAGTTATTTTTAGGTTTTTGTTTTCTAAAAAAAAAAAATACTTACATCATTTGTAAAACTTCCACTCTGTGTCTTACGTTTTAATTAAAAATAATCTTACTATTATATAAATATTTTTAATAATAAACAACAATGATAACTTATAAGGTCTCTAACCGTCCATTTGTCAAAGACATCTTTTATATATGGATTTTTTTTTACACTTATAATATGTCCAAATAATCAGCAATTGCGATAAACCATCACTATATACAAATTTTATTTGATGCACGCTGAAACATATCATACAATCCCCATTTTGTGATGTTAAAAGCAAATAACATCTTCACCCAGCCTATAGTATTGGCTTTCTGACTTTTATTTATGATACAAAACAAACTGTTCCTTGGTGTTCTTAGAGATTTTTCCAATAAGTGACATATCATAAGCAATGGGAATCAAGTACAAATTATCTTTTCTTCGAACTGTTGCACCAAATAACTCAGTCATGTCCAAGTCTTCATGTTTCACTCCATTAGCGAGCTCCCAATCAAAATAATAAAGCAACATTGCAAGAGGAAGTTCAACATTAATTAGACCGAACGACATACCGGGGCATATTCTCCTTCCAGCACCGAATGGGATATACTCAAAATTTCTTCCATTGAAGTCAATAAGGCTATCAAGAAACCTCTCTGGTATAAAGCTCTCGGCTTCAGTCCAATACTTAGGATCTCTTTCTATTGCCCATGCATTAACTATGACCCTGGTTTTCACCGGTATCACGTAACCATTAATCACACAGTTCTCTCCACTTTCTCTTGGAAGTAATAAAGGAGCAGAAGGGTGTAGCCTCAATGTCTCTTTGACAATACATTTCAAATATTTCATCTTACTAAGCACGGTTTCGTCAACTGACCCTTTTTCGTTAAAGACTTGTCTCACCTCATCTTGAGCTTTTTTCATCACTCTTGGATTCTTCATCATTTCTACCATTGCCCAATCCACAGCGGTAGCAGATGTCTCACTCCCGGCGAAAAAGATGTCCTGGAAGTCAATGAATGGTTATGCAATTGAAATTTAGTATAAGTCACTTTGCATGCAATTCTTCAAAAACAAATTAGATCTGAAAACAACATAGAAGGAAGGCTAAAAGGAAGGCTTAAAAAGTCATATCTTCGGAACAACTAGTGTAAATTAAAGCTACAAAAGTGTAAACACGTGTTAATCTTTTACTTCAGTGGATATAATGCAGCAAATTAATATTCAATAAACGCTTTGATATTTTCTGTTGTTAGGGAGAACCCGGTTTCAGCATTATTATGGAATTTCAGAAGAACATCAACCAGATCTTCTTGATCTGTTTGACTTTCATTATTTTTTGCCGTTGACTTCTTGTCTTTGTGTTCCTTGATTATGTTTTCCATTATCCTCCCAGCCCTTCGTTTAATCGACTCGCATTTAGGCCTTGAAGGAGTGATCCAGGCAAGAAAACTAAAAGAAGGAAACAAATCTACAAAATCAAACCCTCCTGATGACTCCAATGATTCCTCAATTATCGATATGAACTCATCATGGTCTTCGATTTTCTTACCAAAGGCAGCCCGCCATGTTATATCATATGTCGAGTATTTGATCCTCTCAGTGAGATTTATAGCTGAGCCGACATTTGAAGCAATCCATTCCATGAGATTAAACATCTCTTCTTCTCTAACGGGTCGGAAAGATTCAACTCTTTTTGCGCTCAAGAGCTCCTGCATACAAATTTTCCGCAGCTGTCTCCAATACTCACCATATGGAGCAAAGGCAACGTCTGTACAATCATACAACAAGATCTGCGAAGAAAGCGCCTGAGGCCTCGATGCAAAGATGACATCATGGGTACTCATCACTTCCTTGGCAAACTCCGCTGAGGAAACTACTATGGTTGGAATCTGTCCAATTCGTAGGTACATGAATGGTCCACGTTTCTTGGCCAAGTCTCTTAGTCCACGGTGCGGTAAAGAACCAAAAATCTGGTGTAGATTTCCTAGTAAGGGTAGTTTCCATGGTCCTGGGGGTAGTTTTGAAGCTGAGCTGGTGGATTTAGCTCTTTGGATGAGTATTTTTAGCCCCATAAACACAAATAAGAAGATGCTGAAAAGGAATGAGAAAGAGGATATTTTGAGATCCATATTGAAAGTGCGGTGTTTGCCCGTTGAGCTTCGGATTCTGGGATGCTTGAAAGACCGAGGGAAGCGTGGTATTTATAGACTAATACTCAGATCTTTTTCCAAATAAAAATTTGCCACATTTAACAGATCGTTTGTTTTTTAAATTTTTGGGATCCTTTTGCCACCTCACCTATGATTTTCTTTTGTATTTTATTAGCCAAATTTGTTATGCACAAGTAATCCTTTCTTTTTGTTTGTTTGACCGTTTTGAAGGATTGATGCACACACATGCGCTTCTCATTTTCCCCTTTATTTTCATGCTAGTCGAAGAACACACGCTATGAACATGGAGAGTAATCGTGTATTAAGTTTTAATTACTGTGTTAATATTAAAAGTATATAATAGCATAAAAAGAAACTAAAATTAAAAAAAAAAAAATTAAGTTTTAGGACAATTAGTCAAAAAATAGAAAAAGGACTAAAATGAAAGAGAAAAAATCTTAGAGAGCAAAAAAAAAAAAAAAAACGGTAGCAGACTGTTAGTGTTCACAGATTTTTGACCAAGAAGTGCGTAAATAGTAAATGAGCTTCTCGAAAATGAAAAAAAAAAAAAAAAAAAAAAAGGAAACATCAAAAGCACAAAAAGAAAGTGAACAAGGGGTGATTTTCAACCAAAGTTACGTCGTTTTGGTTGAAAATAGTGAAGTCCATTGATATTTCTATATATTGTTAGTTTTGATGAACCATAATCAGTCCATCACTAATTAACCATTTCTAACCCATAAATCAATCAGAGTTAGGGGAAAGAAGGAACAATACTCTATTCCTACTCCTTATCTTTCTTTGAATATTTAAGATCCATAGAAACCATGGTATTTTAATTTATTTTTTTTACGCATATCCTATGCTTTTAGTTTTACAATAAGGGAAGGCTTTTAATAATTAGACCACAGTTCAAAACAGCCAGTACCAGTTGTGATGTCGTTTACAAGTATTCCAACTCCTGTACTCTTTATTTTCTTCAGAGCTCCAAATTATTACAATGAGGCCTCGTTCACTTCATTGATTCGAGTTTAGAATTTGAGTTTTGCTACAGTAAAAAGTTCTCAGAAACAGTCACATCTAACTTTTTACTACAGTAAAAAGTTCTCACATAAAATCACATCTCAACTCGAATTACAAACTCGAATAAGCAAAGTGAACAGGCCTGACTTGGCTATAGATAGACAAGCTGAACAAAGTTTCCAAGTTGAATTTGTCAAAACAATTAGCCCTAAAGTTATGAAACATTATACGTGGTTGACAATTACTCACCGGAACCCATCTAGTAACGGCATTGTTCAGCGAGTTAATAACGGCATTGAAGTTTGAAAGTCCAACCCATCTATCACACGACTTAATTAATATCCATTATCATAATTTATTATGAACTTTTTACAATGTATGAAAAAAAAAAAAAAAAAAAACCGACTATCGGCATGGTTATATTTTCAACCATTATATTAGCATTAGATTTGGTTAGTTTTACATCTTTTTTTATAATTTGATGTGATTTCAACTAAATCTAATAATCAAAAGCAAGCAAAGAGATGGGATATACTTACCATAAAAAACTCCAATTTATTATTTTCATACTTTTTTCATATTCTGTAAAAGGGATAAAATTATTTTGGTACTCTCTATCATAGTAAAACATCTCATTAGTACTCATGTATTTTTAATAATATTAAAATAATACCTTCAAGTTTAAATAAAGGTTCTTGTATAAGGCTTTTAGCAGGGTTCTCTTGCTTATGGCCTTCTGTTTAATCGTTGAAACTTCCCCAAGTTGAAGGTGCATTATAGGCCCGTGAATGATGGATATGAAACTTCACCAATTCTTTCTTTGCCTCAGGTTGTTAATATAATTCCCTTGTTATATCTATAGATGTCACAACTTCACTGATTTCTACTAAACAATGCCAAGTTTGGACATATATATTAGCTGGCTTAAAATAAACATTTGAATTTATTTATGTTCTTCTGCAAGCAGTGTGTGATTGAACTTCGTTCTCATGATTCTCTGCAAATTTGATGTCTACCAAGTTCATGAAAATGATTTTGTGGAAAATATGGTTACCTTGTATAATAGAACCACTAATCAATCGGTTTTTAGTCAACGTACGCAAAGGAAAAGATAACAATAACAACAACAAGTGTATTTTCTAGGTACATCATTCAATGCTAATAAATTTTAATGCATGATACGTCGTTCAGTTTGACATTAGATAAATGATAATAAATTAAAAAAAAAAACACATGAAAGATAATTTCATGATCTTATTGCTAATTAAAAATTTTCTACATTTGACAGAGTTTTTTTTTTTTAAAAATTTTTGGGCTCATTTTTCCAGGTCACCTAAGATTCTCTTCTATATCTTATTAGCCAAATTTGTTATGCACATGTATTCCTTTTTATTTTTATTTTTTTTGTTAGACCGTTTTGAAGGATTGATGCACACACATGCAGACTATTTCTTTTACATAAAACCACAACTTGTGCTTTTCATTTTCCCCTTTACAATTATGAAAATGTGTAATAACTCGCGTGACAAATTGGGTTTGACTTCCATGTCATTGGAGATAATTGTTAGTACAAATTGAACTTGGATAAAAAAAAAGTGAAAGAATAAAGGACTTGTAATCTAATGCTTGTAAACGAAATGCCATTTGCTATTTGTCCAATACGTCACAAAATGTTGTGGCAGGAGAAACGATGCACATAGAACTCAAAGTAGTGGGAGTAAAAGAAAAGGTTCGGCTAAAACTAGCCATCCATCTAATTTTTCTGGAGAAGATGGAGATTGTAAAAATTATGAAGCTTTTTTGAATATTTAAATAAGTTTAAATTCAAATTAAATTTTAAACCACAGAATAACCAAATTACACTCAAAATAAATAAATAAAAATTGAAATGTCAATTTTTATTAAAAACTTAGCATAAGGGTTTTTTTTTTTTTTGTTAACATTTCATTTTTCAGGTGAACAGATGTTCTTTTTTAAAGATCATGAGTAAAGTGTTACAAGGGGTATACTTCAGGGATAACTTTTGTAATTAATCCTTTTTTTAACTTAAAACCTTAAAACTAAATTTTCTTTTCGAAATCATTTTTACTCACTTTGACATTTCACCTTTTTTCCTCATGAGGCTTTGAAACTTGGCACTTCCTTCGTGTAACCATATTAGATACAGGCTTGCTGTAGTAGTATTTGTGTTACTTGCCAAATATAAATACTTTAATATGAAAACATAGCATAGTAGAATGCTAATACCATTAGTCTGCGTCCTTCAATGATTATTAGTTGATAAATAATCGGACTGCTTATATTTACAGCCTGATCAGTCAGGCATTTTTATAGGTGCTTGACTAAAGACCATTCTTAAAATGTATTAACATATTAAAGAGAAAACAATACAAAATAGAAAAGTGAGAAGACTAGTCAATTGATGCAAAAAAAAAAAAAAAAAAAAAAAAAAAAAAAGAGAGGGGGAAAAAAAAAAAAAAAAAAAAAAAAAAAGATGAGAGAGGGAAAAAAAGTCAAACGAAAAGGAAAAAAGAAAAAAAAAATGAGAAAAAAGAGAGGGGAACGTATGAAGCGGTTGGAGTTGACTTCTTGACTATTAAATCTTCTCGTATAAAATGAGCCATCGAGAAGTAATACATAAGGAGAGAGAAGACAAAAATTAAAAAATAGAGTTAGGTTTTATCCTTATTCGTTTCGCTGCATTATTTAAATAGTAGTATATATAGGTAATAACAAGTCTTAGTGCGTGGAGCGCACACGATTAATTTAAAATAACGGCTACATGAATTATTCAAAATAAAAGACAAAAAAGAGAAGAAAGAAAACAAAATACATAAAAAAATGAAGACAAAAGCGGAAAAAAAAAAAAATTGAAGTAAAAGACGGAAAAAATTTATAACTTATTTTGTTTTGTTTTAAATTAATTATATTTTGTTTTATTTGTTGTGTTCTTCAATTAATTCAATATGATTTTATTTTATTTTAGCGTATTTTTTTCTAAATTTACTAATTTTTGTTAATTAATGAGAATGATAAATTTGATATTTTACGTTTTAAAAAACTGTCCTGAGGTACCAAAAAAAAAAGTATTAAAGGTTGAGGTATCGACATAAAATTATTAAAAATAGAGGGTATGAAACTCATATTTCTATATAACATAGGATACCAAAATAAAATTTTCACAAATACAAAAGCCTAACAACACCAACCAAATGAGTCACCAACAAGAACTGACAAGGTGTCTAAATATTAATCAGCAACTGTGATGAACAATCACTATATAAAACTCTATTTAATTGGGATGCTCATAGATGTCATGCACGCCATTTTATTGATCTCAAAGCATATAACATATTCACTCAGCATATAGTAGTGGTTTTCTGATTTTTATTATTGATAACAACGCAATAAAAAAAAAAAAAAGAAAGAAAAGAAAAAGAAAACCACTTATGGAATAATTACAAAATTACAAGTTACATTTTGTTCCTAGTGATTTTTCCAATAAGCGACAGATCATAAGCGACGGGAATCAAGTACAAATCATCTTTTCTTCTAACCGTCACACCAAAGAACTCAGTCATGTCGAGGTCTTCATGTTTCAATCCATTGGGAAGTTTCCAATCAAAATGGTAAAGCAACATTGCAAGCAAAACCTCAACATTACTCAGACCGAACAACATGCCTGGACATATTCTCCTTCCAGCCCCAAATGGTATGTACTCAAAATTTGTTCCTTTAAAGTCAATAGAGCTATCGAGAAACCTTTCTGGCATAAAACTATCGGGTTCAGTCCAATATTTAGGGTCTCTTCCCATTGCCCATGCATTAACTATGACCTTCGTTTTTACCGGAATCTCGTAACCTTTAATCTCACATTTCTCTCCACATTCTCTTGGAATTAATAAAGGAGCGGAAGGGTGTAACCTCAGTGTCTCCTTAACAACACATTTTAAATATTTCATCTCACTAAGCACAGTTTCGTCAACTGATCCTTTTCTACTAAAGACTTGTCTCACCTCAGTCTGAGCTTTTCGCATTACTCTTGGATTCTTTATCATTTCGGACATTGCCCAGTCTATAGCTGTAGCAGTTGTTGTACTCCCAGCAGAAAATACGTTCTGAAAGTTAATTGAGTGGTGTTATGCAATTGAAATTCAGTATAATACCCTATTCCATAGAATTCAACCGAACAATCAGGCGAAAAAAACAACATAGTTTTTCTTGGTCAACAACTTAAGCATGTCATATCTGTGGAACAAATAGTGCAAATTGAAGCTATATAAATATAAACATGTGTTATGCATTCTCATCACTTCCTTGGCAAACTCTGTTGACGAAACTATGGTTCGAACTGTCCCATTCTTATGTACATGGCCAAGTCTTTAAGTGCATGGTGCGGCAAAGGCCCGAAAAGCTGGTGCATATTTCCTAGTTAGGGTAGTTTCCATGGTCCCGGGGGTATTTTCGAATCTGATGTGATGGTTTTAGCTCTTTTAATGAGTATGTTCAGCACCGTACACACAAAGAGGAATAGGCTGAAAAGGATTTAGAAAGACGATAGTTTGAGCTCCATGCAGAATGTGCAATTGATCTTGCCTGAAGTTGTAATGGCTTACACACAAAGAGGAAGAGGATGGATTTGTAATTCTTTTTGCTTCATATTAGAATACTTGGTACGTGTTAATTCTGTAAGATAAACTATTGTGTAAAGATAATTTTCTTTAAACAATTTCTCTTCTTTATTTGGCATAAGATTGTCCAATGATAGAGATCGGAGGAGGTTGCGGTCCGAATAAGCTATTGAAGAAGCGAGTGTCTAGTGGAAAGCCTAAAAAGTAATCACTCATTCAAACTTTTAATTACAAAAACAGCCTAAATATTTGTGTCGCTATCTCTTACTTAAGGGGTCATAAGATAAGTTGCATACAGTTTTTACCAAAAAGTTGACACTTTTCTTTGTCAACATGTTCACCACACCGTAGTTTTTGGTATTGGGCGATCATTGCTAATTCGGCAAAGTTAAAGGACTTGTATATTTTGGACAATTATCCTCTTTAGTTTGAATGTTATGAAAGCATGGTTGGTTTTGAAAACTGTAGCACATATACACGTCTACTACATCTACTAACTATTAAGAAAGTATATGAAATATAAGGACATTATGCAGCAGAAATGGAATATACTTACCCAGATTACTGCTTTAACATTGTCAATTGTTAGGGAAAAGCCAAGGTCATTGTTGCAAAACTTTAGAAGAACATCTACCAAGTCTTCTGCGACCGTTTCACTTTCACCACTTTTTGTTGTAGGCTGCTTCTTCTTCTTATGTTCCTTGATGATGTTATCAATTATCCTATCGGACCTTTGATGCAGCCTCTCAAACTTTTCCCGTGTGCCGAAGATGAGAGGATCAAGAAAACCTAAAGAAGGAAACAAATCCGTAAGATCAAAACCTCCTAATATCTTTGCAACTTCTATAGCAAGTGATATAAATTCTTCTTGATCTTCGCTTTTCTCGCCAAAGGCTGCTCGCGACGTGATGCTATAAATAGAGGAGTAGATTCTTTCAGTGAGATTGATAGAAGAGCCAACATTCGAAGCAATCCATTCCATGAGATTGGACATCTCTTCCTCTCTAATGGGTCTAAACGATTGAACCCTCGCTGCGCTCAAAAGCTCCTGTGTGCAAATTTTTCGCAGTTGTCTCCAATACTCGCCACACGGGGGAGACACTATGTCAGTAGAATTGTAGAACATGATCTCTGAAATAAGAATGTGGGGCCTAGATGCAAAGATTGCGTCGTGTGTTCTCATTACCTCTTCCGCAAACTCTGGCGACGAAACTACTACTGTTGGAAGCTGTCCCATTCTTATGTACATCAAGGGTCCATATTTCTTGGCCAAATCTCTTAATGCATGATGGGGCAGAGGGTTTAGAAGCTGGTGCAGATTTCCAATGATGGGCAACTTCCATGGTCCCGGGGGTAGTTTTGAAGAAGTGTTTGTGGGTTTTGATGATCTTTTTAGCGTGTTTAACACCGTAAACACAAAGAGGAATGAGCTGATCAGAAGTATTAAGGAAGAGGGAAATTGGAGATCCATTAAGAATCTGAAGAGAAAGATTGGACTAAATGAGTAAATGGGCTGCAATTCTTTCTATAGATGTCGCAACTTCATTGACTTCTGCTAAACAATGCCAAGTTTGGACGTATTAGCTGGCTTATAATAAACATTTGCATTTATTTATGGTCTTCTGCAAGCAGTATGTGATTGAACTTCGTTCTCTGCAAATTTGATACCTACCAAGTTCATGAAAATGATGTTTTTAGTCAACGTAAGTAAAGGGAAGATAAAAGAAAAGGGCCCAGGGGAAAAAAAAAAAAAAAAAAAAAAAAAAAAAAAAAAAAAAAAAAAAAAAAAAAAAAAACCTACGAAAGGGCCCATGCGCAAGAAAATAAATGAAAAGATACAAAAAAAAAGAAAGAAAAAGAAAACAATAACAACAAGTGTATTTTCAAGGTACATCATTAAATGTATTAATAATTTTTTATGCATGATACATCATTCAGTTCGACATTATTAAAGATCATGATGATTTTAATCCATTAAGAATCTGAAGAGAAAGATTGGACTAAATGAGTAAATGGGCTGCAATTCTTTCTTGCCTCTGGTTTTTAATATATTTCCCTTGTTATATCTACAGATGTCGCAACTTCATTGACTTCTGCTAAACAATGCCAAGTTTGGACGTATTAGCTGGCTTATAATAAACATTTGCATTTATTTATGGTCTTCTGCATGCAGTGTGTGATTGAACTTCGTTCTCTGCAAATTTGATACCTACCTGCAAGTTCGCAAATTTGATACCTACCACGATCATGAAAATGATGTTTTTAGTCAACGTATGTAAAGGAAGAGATAACCTAGGAAAGGGCCCATGCGCAAGAAAATAAATGAAAAGATACAAAAAAGAAAGAAAAAAAAAAAACAATAACAACAACAAGTGTATTTTCAAGGTACATCATTAAATGTTAATAATTTTTTATGCATGATGCATCTTCAGTTCAACATTAGAAAAATGATAATAAATTAAAAAAAAAACATAAAAGATAATTTTCATGATCCTATTGCTAATTAAAAATTTTCCACATTTGACAGACGGGTTTTTAATAAAATTTTTGGGCTCATTTTGCCACGTCACCCAAGATTCTCTTCTATATCTTATTAGCCAAATTTGTCATGCACATGCAATCCTTTATTTTTTTTTTTTGTTTGACCGTTTTGAAGGATTGATGCACACACATGCAGATCATTAAATGTTAATAATTTTTAATGCATGATACATCATTCAGTTCGACATTATAAAAATGATAATAAATTTAAAAAAACATAAAAGATAATTTTCATGATCTTATTGCTAATTAAAAATTTTCCACATTTGACAGATGGGTTTTTTATAAAATTTTTGGGCTCATTTTGCCACGTCACCCAAGATTCTCTTCTATATCTTATTAGCCAAATTTGTTATGCACATGCACACACATGCACACACAAGATTCTCTTCTATATCTTATTAGCCAAATTCCTTTATTTATTTATTTTTTTTGTTTGACCGTTTTGAAGGATTGATGCACACACATGCAGACTATTTCTTTTACATAAAACTTAAATCTATTTTAAATCTATTTATTAAAATAATATAGAAGAAAATATAAAATATAAAATTTGTAGTAAAAACTAATAGGTCGTTAAAACTAATTAATTAAGTTTAAGATGAATTAGGAAGAATTGGTTGACGAAATATGAACCGTAGACTAAATCTTGATATACCTCATAATACTACATTTTTGTTACCGCGAGATATATTGGCAGTTGCGGATCATTTGATTGGAATGAAGTTCGGAATGGGTATACTTGACGATATGAATCATTTGAAAAATAAACGTATATGTTTTGTAGCGGATCTCTTACAAGATCAATTCAAATTGGCCCTGTACTTTTCATTTTCCCCAATATTTTCATATGCTATGAATGCTAGTACTTATAATTTCTTTGTTTGAGGCAGCTTAGTATTATAATACTACAATATTTTTTGGCAATTTAGGTATTTTTATGAGTTAACAATTTATTGGTAATCTTGTAAAAATTCAAAAAATAGGTTCAAGAAGATTTCGTGTTGCAGAAGAAGATTCAGAATCGGATTTGAAGTTAAAGTTGCAGATTTTATTGAGTTGAGATTTGAAGAGATAAGGATAAAAACTTGGTCAAAGGAAGATAATACATTGGTTGAGATTTGGAGAGATAAGGACGAGACCCTGGTCAAAAGAAGATAAGGCACTAGTTATTTGAATTTAAATCGGAGATAAAGCTTACATAGAGATCAAGTTGTTTTCAGATTTAAATTCTTGGCTTAATCCGATTATTGTTTGGAGTTGTTCAAAATTGGAGCTTGCGGATAACGTTTACAAGAGAATGTTTAAAATCAAATCAAGCTTGATGTATTACGTGAAGCATGGGAGGTTTGCATGTGATAAACATATATTGTTAATATTAGAAGTGAAAGGAGCTTGGAGAACAAGGCCACGTGTGAGGTAAGATAGATTGGATTATGTACTATAAAGGTGATGGTGGATGAGAAGGTTAAATCTGAATTTAAAGTTTAAAAGGATAATTAATTCGAATTTGATAAGTTTGCTGCATAATTCGAATTGGAGATTGAGAAGATAACGTGAAGATATTTTGGAGTCTATCTAGGAGAGAGAATCATGGAGATAATAGTGTCACGCCCCGCAACCGGGGTCGGTGACGTGGAGGCTCGATTAGGAGCTAAACACGATTAAGAATAATATATTATAGAAATTCCGCAAACGAGCCCCACATTTAGTTGAAAATAAAGTACAAGGGAGAGGTTCGACACTCGGGCCTCTGACATCATTCAGGGCTCCACCCACAGGACATACAATATTGTACATACATGAACATGTAAATATCATTACAAACATCAACCGCAGTCAAGAAATTCAAAGATCAGAGTCTACAGAATTTACAATTCTTACATTTGTATACAAGGATGATCACAATCCTCTCTTAATCTGACGGTAGCACAAACTCAACTACTCCGCACCGCTCCTAGAGTCGCATGGAAGGGGTTTAATATTTATAAAATAATAAAAACGTGAGCGAAAGGCCTAGTAGGATGTATTTTGAAATAACTTTATAAATAAGCCGGAACCTCACATCCTTTTTCTCAAAGGAAATATAACTGAAAATCTCTGTATTACAAGCATCAGCAAGTAATTTATATAAATTACTTACACAACCATATGCACAAGTCATATCACCCCCGGACCGGGTTTCGGGTTCTGGCCCAAAGGATGCACTCTCCACATCCTATCTAGGCCATCAGCCGGTTTACCGATTCGCAAGATCTCTTATCTTAAGAAATCATTCATTAAACTTTCTGAAATCGTTCATTATAATCCCATGAACTACAACAAGCCATGGTTCGCATGAACTACAACAAGCCATGGGTTTTAAATATTTTTTTCTTTCGCAAACAGGCCCCTTTTTTTTAAAACATTTGCAAGGCCAAAACTCTTTTAAAATCAGGCTCACAAAGGAAAGGGTAAAGAATCCTACCTCACACATATCAAACCTGTGGCTAGCGTTACTCTATTCTGGCTTTTGCTTCTTCAAAGCCTCTCAATCCGAGTCCTCAGCTAGCACTGATGCAAAACAACACTTTAGGTTCCAATTCTCATTCCTAAAGCAATTTCAATCTCAATTATGTCTTTTGATTTCCTATTAGTGTACCTTTACTCAATTCAAGTTTCACAAATGATTTTATATTCAGTTTGGGGGTTCTTTAAAGATTGAAATCCAATTCATGGAATTGGTTTCCTATTTAATTTCAGTTTAAAAACAACTTTTTAAAGAAATTTCGACAGCATGCCGGTATAAATAGGAAAAATACCAAACCTGGAATTTAAGTTCAATTTCAAAATAAATTCTCCAAAATCCATCAAAACCAGCTTCCAATCAATTCAACAAATCCAATAACTGAAAACCCCCAAATTTCAATCAATTCTAACAACAATTGTTCAAATCCAAACCCTAACTCAAAATTATTCAAATCTAACCAAAATTAAACATTCTCACGTTTAAAAATTCAAATCAAGAGTGGGTTTCAAGGGGTTTTACCTCAAATTAGTTGATGGAGCTGTTCTCTCTCTCCCTTTTTTTTTCTTTTTTTCCTGCTTCGGCAGGAACAAACCGGAGAGAGAGCGCAAGGGAGAGAGAGAGAACGCTGGTGGGAGACAGAAAGAGCCCAGAGGAAGTGGCCGGCGGTGGAAGAAAAGAGGAGAGAGAGAGATGGCTGGCGGTGGAAGAACCAGAGGAAAGAAAAAGAAAAAGAAAGAAAGAAAGAAAGAGAGAGTGGGGCTGGTCTGGCAGCCATGGGAAGGAAGGGAAGGGAAAAAGAAAAAGGAAAAGAAAAGAAAGAAAAAGAAGAAAAGAAAAGAAAATGAAAAAGAAAAGAAAAATAGGTGTCCAAATATTTAAAATAACAGTCCAGAAAATGTATCTACACACACTTCTAGGGTAAAAATGTAATTACTGAAAATATTTAAATTCCATGAAAATATTGTAATTTACACGTCAGAAACATTTAATAATCTATAATTAATCAATTAATCTAGATTTGGCACACTAATAAATCTTAATTACCTTAATTAATCTCATTTAATTCTCCGGGGTGTTACAAATAGAGATCTTATCGAGAGTGGATTTGAATGAGATTCTCTTCAATTTATTTAAAGGCTTTGTTTTAGAGCATATGTGAGTATAGACTTAATAGAATATATCCAGAGGAAAAGTCTGTGAATTTAAGAGCTATTACTAAGAAAATATTCAGAGAGAGGTCTATGATGAGTTATTGAGATCGTCCTTCGGGAGAGGGATTAGTTACTTTTGGGAAGGAGCTCTGTCGGCCGAAGGGAGTTCGCCAGGTGAATAGAAGACGTGTGGTGCACGCTAAACAATCACTGTTTATGAGTTATTGAGATCGTCCTTCATGTTCCAGACAGTGTTTCAACATCATCTGGAATACCAGACGCAACATCATATCTAACAAGTGGTATCAGAGCAGTTCACTGACCATAAATTCGGTGAGATCTTAGAGTGTTGATCTGTTATGTTTGGAATGGATTTTCTAAAGGAAGGAGGTTCAGTTGCACGTCCCCCTCTGCTCGATGGTTTGAATTATTCATATTGAAATTCCCGGATGAAGGCTTTCATTAAGACTCAATATGAGAAGGCATGGTGTGCTGTTTTGAATGGCTGGAAACATCCAATAACTAAAGATGTAGAAGGAAAGAGATTCTAAAACCCAAAGGTTCCTAGAATAGTGATGAAGACAAGTTGGCCATCTACAACTCTCGTGCCCTCAATGCAATATTCAATGGAGTTGACATCAACCAGTTCAATATGATATCTACATGTGAATCGGCAAAAGAAGCATGAGAGATTTTGGAGAATGTAACATTCAGGGGGAGTAATACACAGAGAACATTCAGGGGAGCAAGCTGCTGAAGACGGTTCTAGGGTGTGAATATTTTTTTTATTTCTTTATTTTCTTGTGTCTTTGGCTTATTTTTGACAAAAAGGTGGAGAACAATGTAATTTTATATTTTTTTTTCATTTTTGAATTTTTTAGGATCTCTTGTTAGTTTTGCCAAAAAGAAATGCCAAAGGGGGAGATTGTTAGGTATTTTTATTAGTTAGCAATTTATTAGCAATCTTGTAAAAATTCAAAAAACATGTTCAAGAAGATTTCGTGTTGCAGAAGAAGATTCAGAATCAGATTTGAAGTTAAAGTTGCAGATTTTATTGAGTTGAGATTTGAAGAGATAAGGATAAGAACTTTGTCAAAGGAAGATAATACATTGGTTGAGATTTGGAGAGATAAGGATAAGACCTTGGTCAAAAGAAGATAAGGCATTGGTTAATTGAATTTAAATGGGAGATAAAACTTACATAGAGATCAAGTTGTTTTCAGATTTGAATTCTTGGCTTAATCCGATTATTGTTTGGAGTTGTTCAAAATTGGAGCTTGCGGATAACGTTTACAAAAGAATGTTTAAAATCAAATCAAGCTTGATGTATTACGTAAAGCATGAGAGGTTTGCTTGTGATAAACATATATTATTAATGTTGGAAGTGAAAGGAGCTTGGAGAAGAAGGCCACGTGTGAGGTAAGATAGACTGGATTATGTACTATAAAGGTGATGGTGGATGAGAAGGTTAAATCTGAATTTAAAGTTTAAAAGGATAATTAATTCAAATTTAATAAGTTTGCTGCATAATTCAAATTGGAGATTGAGAAGATAACGTCAAGATATTTTGGGGTCTATCTAGGAGAGAGAATCATAGAGATAATAGAGATCTTATCGAGAGTAGATTTAAATGATATTCTCTTCAATTTATTTAAAGGCTCTGTTTTAGACCATATGTGAGTATGGACTTAATAGAATATCTCCAGAGAAAAAGGAGAGCTTATTACTAAGAAAATATTCAGAGAGATGTCTGTGAGGTTTTATGAGTTATTGAGATCGTCCTTCGGGAGAGGGATTAGTTGCTTTCGGGAGGAAGCTCTGCCGGTCGAAGGGTGTTCGTCAGGTGAATAGAAGACGCGTGGTGCACGCTAAACAATCACTGTGGAGATTCGTCATAGCGGCGTCATTGTCTAGGAGGGAGTACTTGAGTGAATAAGTCCATCCAGTGTCTGTAATTTCTGAAACATTGTGAAACTATTTACTGTCTAGGCGTGGCCCCGCAGATGTAGGTGTACGCACCGAACTGCGATATCATATTGTGTGTTCCTTTACTTTCTGCACTTTATTCTGCTCAAACAAATGAACGTAATTAACCCGAATCTTAATTAATGAAGCCGTGTTCCAGACAGTGTTTCAACATCTTCTGGAACACTAGACGTAACATCAGATCTAATAGCTTGTAAACGAAATGCCATTTGTTATTTGTCGAATTCAACGCAAAATGTTGTGGCGGCAGAAATGATACACATAGATAAATTTCCTCTCCGCCGAGACTTCGGGTCAATCACTATATAAATTCTATTTAATTGGGATGCTCATAGATATCATGCACGCCATTTTATTGATCTCAAAGCAAATAACATCTTCACTCAGCATATAGTAGTGGTTTTCTGATTTTTAATATTGAGAACAAGGCGATAAAAAAAATAAAAATAACATAAAAAAGAAAAAGAAAACTACTTGTGGAATAATTAGATATTACAAGTTACTTCGTGTTCCTAGTGATTTTTCCAATAGGTGACAGATCATAAGCGATGGGAATCAAGTACAAATCATCTTTGCTTCTAACCGTCACACCAAACAACTCAGTCATGCCCAAGTCTTCATGTTTTAATCCATTGGGATGTTTCCGATCAAAATGGTAAAGCAACATTGCAAGAAAAATCTCAACATTACTCAGACTGAACAACTTTCCTGGGCAAATTCTCCTTCCAGCCCCAACTGGTATATACTCAAAATTTGCTCCTTTGAAGTCAATAGAGCTATCAAGAAACCTCTCTGGTATAAACCTATCGGGTTCAGTCCAATATTTAGGGTCTCTTCCCATTGCCCATGTATTAACTATGACTTTGGTTTTTACCGGTATCTCATAACCTTTAATCTCACATTTCTCTGTACATTCTCTTGGAATTAATAAAGTAGCGGAAGGCTGTAACCTCAGTGTCTCGTTAACAACATATTTTAAATATTTCATCTCACTCAGCACAGATTCGTCAACTAATCCTTTTCTACTAAAAACTTGTCTCACCTCAGTCTGAGCTTTTCTCATTACTCTTAGATTCTTTATCATTTCCGACATTGGCGAGTCTATAGTTGTAGCAGTTATGCAATTGAAATTCAGTATAATACCCTATTGCATAGAATTCAACCGAACAATCAGGTGAAAAAAATTTGGTCAACAATGCACAACACTAAATGGAAGGCTTAAGCATGTCATGTGTTTCGAACAAGTAGTGCAAATTCAAGCTATAGAAATATAAACACGTGTTAATCATTCTCATCACTTCCTTGGCAAACTCTGTTGACGAAACTATTAGGGTTTGAACTTGTCCAATTCTTATGGACATGAATGGTCCATGTTTCTTGGCCAAGTCTTTAAGTGCATGGTGCGGTAAGACCCGGAAAGCTGGTGCATGTTTTCTAGTAAGGGTAGTTTCCATGGTCCCAGGGGTACTTTTGAATCTGATATGATGTCTCCAATACTCGCTGTTGCGGCTAAAAAAAAAAAAATGGTGAATAATAAATTATGGGCCCTAAAAAAACAGAGAGAGTAATTAGTAAATGATGTTTTGGGTTAATCCAAATTCATGAAGGCCCAAAAGGAGACAACAAAAGATTCACGTGCAAATTGGAAGAAGTAGAAGTTTTTGGGTGGTGATCCTAAAGAAAAGCAAATAGCCAATCACATCAAAATCACAGTTAAAGAGAACCAATCAGAAAAAAAGGGTATGGATTCTTTTAAAATATAACCAACTGTTTGTGGACAAATACACACGTTTTAATTTCGCACCATGACAGAACGTGGGTGTGGTTAAAATAGTAGAGAAAAAAAAAATTGTACCAACGTTACAACAAAAGCAAGGTAAAGTTTTATGTATATTTATGTGTATGTATTTCTCTACTAATCTCACTTTCTCCCTATTATTTGACTATTTTGGTGCAATGATCATACAAAAGAAGAACCCTATTGACACTTTAGAGTGTGGGGGGTTTGTGGAAGAAATCCTATAGACACCTATGGGTGTGGGATTTTCTTGGTGATAAAAGAAGGGCACAATAGACACCTAAGGGTGTGGAGCTTGTTAATTGCAAGAAAAAATATATACATATATACATATATAATTCTTTGGTTGTCATTAAGACTTAGGTTTGTAACGTTTGTTTCTACAAGCCTATAGAAGTCAAAAGTGATTATACAAACTATGGATTTAATAGTTATATACATTTGCGTAAAAGAAAAAAATAATAATTCTTTGGTTGCAATGAGGCTTGGGTTTGTAGTGTTTGTTTTTCAAGCCTATAAAAGTTGAATATACATACCACGGATTTCATGTCTTGTACATTTGTGTGGGATTTGGTATTTTGCCAAAAATAACATTTTGTATTGTCACCGTCGGAAAAAAAGAGACGAGTGCCGGATACTTAGTTTAAATAGAAAAAGAAAAAACATATATGTAAATATATATATATATATGTATATATATATATGAAAAGTACATCACTTGTTTCCGATGATCCGGCCGCAGAGTCTCTGTAAATTATAAGCAAAGAGTTTGGCATATGGGATTACGTGCCTATAATTCGAAGACAACGTCATACAGACCGCACCATACCCGCCAAGAGCAATCAAACAAGCAAGACGAGAATAATAAAGAAGGGAAAAAAAAAAAAAAGAGAAGAAAAGTAAAAAAAGCAAGCAAACGGCATCACCTCCAATTCTTCCTTACTACCTTCGCAAGGCAATAGATGTAATACTCACTATACTTCTCTACTTGTTGTGTTGTGTGAAATATGAGCTATGATTACTTCAATACTTGCTGTGTTGTGTGAAATATGAGCTATGATTAACGCCTCTTATATGGGTATTTATATATATATATATATATATGCCAACCATGTAAAACGAAAGAAGGAATTTCAATTCCTTTTGAAATTGGAAGCTCGATAACAGAAAAAAGAAAAAAAAATCAAAACACATCCAATCCGAAAGGTGGCTTTGATAAAAGATTTTAAAATTCAAAATAAAGAAAAGAGAAGGCAATAAATTCCAAAGAAATTCGGAATATTAAATACCTAAAAATCAAAAGCACACAAATTGGGTTCTTTATGGTCCCTTAGCTCAAAAATCAAATTCTCAAAACCAAATTAAAAAAGGATCCTTTTAATTCCCCATAAGCTCATATACGGAAGAATTGTCTAAATCTAAATTCCAAAGTAAAATAATAAAAATTCCAAATTAAATTTTAAAATGTCCTTGAATTTCTCATAGGTCCTATAGTGAGGAATTCTCCAAAAGCAAAATTTAAATTCGAAAACTACGATTGACTTGATTCCCTATGGATAGGTAGAAAACTTAAAATTTAGGTGTAGTTTTAAGATCAAACTAAGTCCTAAAAATCCTCATAAAAACAAAATCAAATTTTAAAGTGCTTTAATTCCTCATAGGCATACATCGGGGAATTACCTAAAATTTTCAATTTTAAATTACAAAGTACAAGTGACTTGATCTCTCAATGGGTATGTATACAACTCGGCCAAATTCACCGAGCTCAGCCGTAATTTTAAATCTACCCAAATTTTCCGAATTCACAAAAAAAAAAAAAAAAAAAAAATTGGCATCTTAATTGGAATAAAAAAGTGTTCGCTTGATACAAGGGATTGTAATTAAGAGATTATTTTTATAATCTTGAATGAGTTAAACTTAAAATAATAAACTTATAGTTATTCAATCTAAATATACATGAAATTTTGTTATGTGTAAAATATTATTAAATATTTTTGCTCCACGGGGGAGACACGGGGCAAAGGGTTTAGAAGCTGGTGCAGATTTCCTATGAGGGGCAACTTCCATGGTCCCGGGGGTAGTTTTGAAGAAGAGTTTATGGTTTTTGATGATCTTTTTAGTGTGTTTAATACCGTAAACACAAAGAGGAATGAGCTGATCAGAAGTATTAAGGAGGAGGGAAGTTGGAGATCCATTAAGAAACTGAAGAGAAAAATTGGACTAAATGAGTAAATGGGCTGCAATTCTTTCTTTGCCTCAGGTTGTTAATATAATTCCTCGTTATATCTATAGATGCCACAACTTCATTGATTTCTACTAAACAATGCCAAGTTTGGACATATTAGCTGGCTTAAAATAAACATTTGAATTTATTTATGTTCTTCTGCATGCAGTGTGTGATTGAACTTCGTTCTCATGATTCTCTGCAAATTTGATATCTACCTTGTGGAAAATATGGTTACCTTGTATAATAGAACCACAAACCATTATAACCTCAAACTAGTTTGATTATAATTTTGACATGGATCTCAAAATTCCCTCTTTCTCAATCCTTTTCAGTTTCTTCCTCTTTGTGTTTATGGTGCTGAAAATACTCATTAACATCGGATCGGCTCGGATTCAAAACTACCCCTGGACCATGGAAACTACCCTTACTAGGAAACCTGCACCAACTTTTCGGGTCTTTAACGCACCATGCGCTTAGAGACTTGGCCAAGAAACATGGACCATTCATGTACCTAAGAATTGGGCAGATTCCAACCATAGTAGTTTCGTCAGCAGAGTTTGCCAAGGAAGTGATGAGAACCCATGATATCATATACCGAAGAATGATCCAAATCCAAATTCCAAAGAAAAATAAAAAAATTTCCAAATTAAATTTTAAAATGTCCTTGAATTTCTCATAGGTCCTATACTGGGGAATTCTCCAAAAGTAAAATTCAAATTTAAGAACTACGACTGACTTGATTCCTTATGGATAAGTAGAAAACCTAAAATTTAGGTGTAGTTTTAAGATCAAACTAAATCCTAAAAATCCTCAAAAAAACAAAATCAAATTTTAAAGTGCTTTAATTCCTCATAGGCATACACCGGGAAATTATTTAAAATTTTCAATTTCAAATTACGAAGTCCAAGTGGCTTGATCTCTCAATGGGTATGTAGACAACTCGGCTAAATTCACCGAGCTCAGCCGTAATTTTCTAAATTCACAAGGAAAATAATTGCTATCTTAATTGGAATAAAAAAGTGTTTCCTTGATACAAGGGATTATAATTAGGAGATTATTTTTATAATCTTGAACGGGTCAAACTTAAAATAAACATTTGAATTTATTTATGTTCTTCTGCAAGCAATGTGTGATTGAACTTCGTTCTCATGATTCTCTGCAAATTTGATATCTACCAAGTTCATGAAAATGATTTTGTGGAAAATATTGTTACCTTGTATAATAGACCCACTAATCAATCGGTTTTTAGTCAACGTACGCAAAGGAAAAGATAACAATAACAACAAGTGTATTTTCTAGGTACATCATTCAATGCTAATAATTTTCAATGCATGATGCGTCATTCAGTTTGACATTAGATAAATGATAATAAATTAAAAAAAAACATTATGATAAATGATAGTAAACGATTTTTTTCTTGTGATAGATATTAATTTTCCATTATGAAGTATTATTTTATTTTAGTTAACGTTTCTCTTAAGCTGGCGGAGTTCTTAGCTGCTAACTTGATAGGGATATTATAATTTAGTATCAGAGTAATATGTTTATGAAGATATTACATTGGGAGTGTCATGAGACGTCAGTCAATATAGAAAAATATATTGTGACGAATAGTTATGTTTTTTTTATAATTATTTGAGGACAGTTTTTCTATTAGAAAAATTAAAATTACTAAATTTTGAGGACGAAATTATTATTAAAAAAAAAGGAGAATTGTAATTCTCCACATAATCCTTTCCTAACGGAATTAATACACACCAAGCATTCTTCTACATTGAGCAATAAAGAAATGAAAAACAAAAAAAAAGCAGAGACTTTATTTAAGCCATTACAACTTCAATTCCATTGCACTTTCGACATGGATCTCGAAATACCCTCCTTCACTATCCTTTTCGGCTTCATCCTCTTTGTGTTAATGGCCCTGGAAATACGCATCGAAAGAGCTAAAACCATCAGCTCAGACTCAAAACTACCCCCAGGACCATGGAAACTACCCTTACCAGCTTTTCGGTTCTTTACCGCACCATGCGCTTAGAGACTTGGCCAAGAAACACGGACCATTCATGTA